GCTTTAAAATTAAACTAGGACATACCAGTCAAAGAAGCAAAGTGCAGAAAAGTAAAGCGAGTAAAATTCCACAGTCTAACCTTGGCTTTCAGCCGGCTAGGCAAGCAGTAGCATAAGTAGCAGAGAAAGAAGAGAGAGCTTGAGTGTGTAAGTGGGTGTTCTGAACTAAATTGTTCGTGTCTTGTTAATGAAAGCATTAGGGTATTTATAGCTTTGAAAGTAAGTGGAAAACAAGTATTGACTGATCATAATTATAGAAATAATACAAACTAGAATCAATTAAAGACCCGGACTCCCTTTAATTAGGGAGTCATAGTTCAAACGGGTACAAGTTGTATCAAATAAGGAAAATAATTGTTTGCAAGACTGATTTTGCCATAATAGGAATAGTAAAAGCATGATGCATGTAATAGGGACTAAGTACAGAATATTCTCAAGTAAGGAAAGTATAATAACAGTATATTGGGCATATAAGCAGGCAGATTACAAATTGATTTTGAAAATTAGTTCAAAGAATCACAGTGGAGATTGAAAATCACAGGGAATCAGTACTATCCAAGGAAAGTATCACAAAAGTAAGGAAGCAATTTTCGAAAATCAGTATAGAGTTACAAGGAAAATACACAGAATCAAAGGTGTAGACATAAGGAAATGATATAGAATCACCATAAATTGTGTGAGCAATCAGTAAAAAAAATGGTCGGACTAATAAATAACACAGTTTCGGACAAAATCAAAGAAACCTTAAGAACAAATCAAAATGAGAAGCACAAGAGCATATAGAACACACATAAAACCCAGAAGGTTCATAATAATCATGCAAACACACTGCAAACAAATTCAAACTTCGAATCGAACCCAGAAGTATTCTGGTTTCTTGACAAAAAATGAATCGAGCCAAAAGGAAAGAATCAGGTAACGTTTAAACATACTAAAATCACAGTAATCAGAAAGAAAACGTTTATTTTAAAAAAAAGGGTTTTGAAACCCTAGTTTGAAAAAAATAAAGAACTGTTCGAAATCGGAGAAACATTTTTAGGAAAACAAGTGAAAACCTTAAGAATCTCATAGATCCATCACAGATCTAAAAAATCGGAGAATTTTAGCTATGTATTTTCAAAGAAATAAAAGAGACGAAGGAAAGATCGGTTAAAACCTATGGAGTCATCTAGATCTAAGATAGATCTTAAAAAGTAAAAGATCTCAAGAACTAGGGTTTCGGAGAACCCAGAGAGGACAAGAAACATTAGATCGTTACCTGTTTTAGCTGGAAAAGCCGTGGATCTAACTCGAACAGACATGGATGGCCGGAAAAAGACCATGGATAGAAGTTGAGCAAGGACTGGACCAGATCACTTTGAGATCTTTCCATGAAATCACACAAGCGGGCCACCAGGGGATGTAGGAGACAAATACACGTCTCAAACAACCATGGGAGTCCATGGATTGGGTGGGGGTTGAAGGGGATTAGGGTAGATTTGGGTGGCGGCGGCTAGGGTTTGAGTGAAGTTATAGAGAGAATTGGATAGGAAGGGGATTCAAGGGCGGCGGGTTGGTGAGAATGATTTAGGCTAGGGTGGTCGTTTGGGTTAAAAAAGTTAAGGGTGAACGGTGGTCGTTGATCTCTGTGATCAACGGCCAGGATAAAAAGGGGTCTGGGTCGGGTAAGATTTAACAGGGTCAAAGGCAGGTTTTAATTAGAAATTGGGCCGGGGAATTGGGGCTTGATTTGGTTATAATTGAAAGCCAAATGTGGCTACAAGTTAAATAGCCACTTTTCACTTTTTAAATTATAAAAAATAGCAAATAGTTTTCTAAAAATAAATTCAAAGTACTAAAATGATTTATAATACATAATTAACAATATAAAAATACAAGACTCAATTTTATGAATATAAAAACACAATTAATCCTTAAAATGGCTAAAATTGCAATTATGTGCAATTTAGCTTTAAAAATACTAAATAAAATTGTAAAAAATGTAAAAAATTATTTTAGCCATATTTTGGCATAAATATAAAAATCCAATAGATGAGTTATCAAAATAATAATTTTGGAAATAATTATTGGGATTTTATGGATAAAAAGGGGGAAATAAATCAATTATAAAACCTTTAAAAATATGAAAAAATAATAAAACCCTTGGACATGCTTATATATGCATACATATTCTATTTTAAAGGTATTTTGAATTTTAAAAATATATTGGGAAAAATTGGGTATCAACAAGAGACAGTACCAAAAAGCCATATAAAAGCAGGATAAAACAACAAGATAGTAATGTGATCAACAATGAAAGAAAACATCAGAAACCTACTACCAATAGAAAGTGACACTGCATGCCAATACTACGGTTATGAACACTCTAGAGTACCTACTATACTACCCTAATCATCGACCTTCATACCTTCCTATCAAGGGTCATGTCTTCGGTCAGTTGAAGCTGTGCCATGTCTTGCCTAATCACATTTCCCCACCTCTTCTTTGGCCTACCTCTACCTCTTCATAGGCCCTCCAATGCCAACCTCTCGCACCTCCTTATCGGGGCATTTGTTCTCCTCCTCCTCACATGACCAGACCACCTAAATCTTGTTTCTCGCATCTTTTCCTCAACAAGGGCCACACCCATCTTATCGCAAATAACCTTATTTCTAATCCTATCTAACCTGGTTTGCCCTCACATCCATCTCAATATCCTCATATTTTCTACCTTCATCTTCTGGACATGAGTGATCTCGACTTGCCAACACTCAGCCCTATGCAACATCGTTGGTCTGACCACCACTCTGTAGAACCTACCTTTAAGTATCGGTGGCACCTTCTTGTCAGACAAAACACCAGAAGCGAGTCTCGATTTCATCCATCCTGCCCAAATACTATGTGTGAGATCTTCATCAATATCCCTATCCCGTTAATAATAGACCCAAGGTACTTAAAACTCTCTCTCCTAGGGATGACATGGGAGTCTAGCCTCACCTCCCCTTCCCATTCTTGAGTCTCGCCACTGAACTTACCCTCCAAGTATTCTGTCTTGGTCCTACTCAACTTGAAACCTTTAGATTCCATGGTCTGGCTCCATACCTCTAATTGCGCATTCATACCGTCTCGAGTCTCGTCAATCAATACAATATCATCTGCAAATATCATGCACTATGGCACCTCCCCTTGGATGTAGTGTGTTAGTACGTCCATCACTAGAGCAAACAAAAAAGGGCAGAGTGCCGACCCCTTATAGAACCCCATCATAACCAAAATATGGTCCGAGTCCCCACCCACCATCCTCACTCGGGTCTTTATTCCATTATACATGTCCTTAACCAACCTAACTTAGGCAATAGGTATACCTCTAGCTTCCAAACATCTTCACAAAACCTCCCTCGGAACTTTATCGTAAGCCTTTTCTAAGTCGATGAACACCATATGCAAGTCCTTCTTTCTCTCTATACTCCATCAATCTTCTAACAAGGTGGATGGCTTCTGTTGTTGAACGTCCTGGCATAATCCCAAACTGGTATTCAGAAATAGACACACTCCTCCTCATCCTTAGCTCTACCACTCTCTCCCAGACTTTAATAGTATACTCTATATACAACACTACAACCAACTTTCGCAACCAATTTCATCCACATTAGGGCCACCCACCATAGCAACATAAAGTGTAAAAGAGACCTAGGGGATATTGGGGAGTGGGGGTCGTTTGAGAAGGTGGGGGGGCATTACAACACAAAAGAAAATTACAAAATACAAGAGAAGAAGGGGATGCAGATAGACACCTTTAAGTTTAAGAAGAAAACACACAAGGATCAAAGGAGAACTTGAGAGAGAGAGAGAGAGATGGAGGAGCAAAAGAGCGGGCAAAGGGAAAGAGAATAGCGGGGAGAGAGAATGGGGGTTTGGGGGGTTAGAGTTATTTTGTTAATTAGTTGAGGGAATGGGTGTGGGTTATTAGGTGAGTATATGTGGGTAATTGGTCGAGTATTATGGGTTAGGGGTTTAACTAGAAAAACAAAAAACAAAAAAAAAATTGACTTACCNATATATATATATATTCAATAAATATCCCCCCTAGCCGAGCACTTGATATATCTTCAATACACATCTCACACCATTCATACCTATGAGTTCTATGACAATAAAGAAAACAAAAAAATCTAGTCTGCTCTGACTAAAAAAAATAAAAATAAGCTAAGCTACGAAAGCACTAAAAATTGGGTTGACTCCCAACAAGCGCCTGATTTAATGTCGCGGCACGACACAACACGTTCCCTCACGCATCCACCAAGTCTATTGAAGTATTGTGACGACGAACGCCACTACCCCAATAGTGTTTCCTCTTTGCCCATTGACTAAATATGTGCCATTGCTCTAGGGGTCCTTTAGCTCAATAGGTCCAAGCTTTGTAACCCGCACTACTTCAAATCCTCAATCATCGAGACATGAGCTTCCCAGGAAAGTGCTTCAACCTTGAATTGAACAATAGAACGGCTTGACCAGGTTCGAACTCACAATGAAAAATGTGTTTGTCATGCCATCTATTTGTTTTCTCTTTATACAATATTCTCTTTATACAATATCGTATTCTAATATGCGTGAATTCGAAACTCTTCTAGCTCATTTAGTTTAAACATCCATTTTTCCCCAGCTAGATCCATATCAATGTTGAGCTTCTTGATTGCCCAATATGCCATGTGTTCAAGCTTAACAGGAACATTACAAGATTTTCCATAAACTAAAATGTACTGTGAAGCGCCAATTGGAGTTTTGTATGCTATGTGATATGCCCATAGAGCATCATATAGCTTGCTAGCCCAATCCTTCCAACTTGCGCTCACTGTTTTCTCCAAAATTTGCTTTACCTCCCTATTGGAGGCCTTCACTTGACCACTGGTTTGCAAATAATAAGCAGTTGTGACCTTGTGTCTTACCCCATACTTAGTTAAGAGGTTGCCCATCAGTTTGTTACAAAAGTGAGTACCTCCATCGCTGATCAAAGCACGCGGAGTTCTGAATCTAGTGAAAATATTTTTCTTCAATAGATTAGGCCAATAGAATCCCGATTGATGCATGGCAATCACATAAAATTGCCTCTATCTCCTCCTTAAGAACACTTCGGTGCACAAACTGATCTGCACACTACTTAAACAAAAATGGCTCATCCCATAAATAAAGCCTCACATCATGTATGAATTTTCTCATACCATCCGGAGATAACACTGACGGAGTCACCCCACTTACAATAAAGTTCACATAGTCAGCATAACATGGGGATGTGCCAGCTGTGATGGCTAGAAATTGTTCATTAGGAAAGCTTTCCTGATATCACCCCCTTCCTCAACATGTTCGCAAGTTTCCAAGCACGACGAATGGTCTGCCACCTAATTTTCTATCCCTTTTCGATCTTTCATTTCAACATCAAATTTTTGCAAGAGAAGAACCCAAAACATTAGTTTAGGCTTAGCATCTTTTTTCTCAAACAAGTACCTGATGGCTGCATGGTCTGTGCAGACGATGACTTTAGTTCCCACCAAGTAGGCCCTAAATTTGTAAAACGTCCATACTACCGCTAACAACTCTTTTTTTGTGACTGTGTAATTTATTTGAGCTAAATTTAGAGTTTTGCTAGCATAGTAAATTGACTAGAACAATTTATCTTTCCTCTGGCCCAATATGGCCCCAATTGTTGTGTCACTAGCATCACACATCATTCAAAAGACACTCCCCTATTTGGGGTGGTGATAATTGGAACATTCACCAATCTCTTTTTCAACTCCTCATACGCCTTCAAGCAGTGTTCATGAAACTTGAAAGGTGCATCCTTCTCGAGCAACCTGCACAAGGGAGTAGAAATCTTAGAGAAATCTTTAATGAATCTACAATAGAAACCTACATGTCCCAAAAAGTTGCTGACTCATTTGACAGAGATTGGAGGTGGCAATTTTTCAATTGCATCCACTTTTGCCTTATCCAGCTCCAAGCCATCTTTGGACACCTTGTGCCTGAGTACAATTCCTTCTCGTACCATAAAATGGCACTTCTCCCAGTTCAGCACCAGATTTGTCTCATCACACCTTGCAAGCACTTTACTCAAATTTGTTAAGCATTCATCAAAATCTGGTCCAAAGACCGAGAAATCATCCAAAAATACTTCAACAAATTTTTCTACCATATTAGTGAAGATTTCCATTATGCACCTTTGAAAAGTCGCAGGTGCATTGCACAACCCAAATGGCATTCGCTTAAAGGAATAAGTGCCATAAGGACAAGTGAAGGTAGTCTTTTCTTAGTCCTTAGGTGCAATTGGGACATGGTTATAGCCAGATTATCTATAAAGGAAACAATAATAATAATACCCGGCTAACATATCTAACATTTGATCAATAAAGGGAAGGGGGAAGTGATCCTTTCTAGCAGCACTATTCAATTTTTGGTAGTCAATGTAAATTCTCCAATCGATTCAAGCGGCGTTGGTGTTCCACACTCGATTTGTGCCCATCCTCCATGAGAATTTTATGCATACAAAATGTTGGGCTAATACCAAGGATGTCAGCCATGGTCCATCCAATCGCCCGGGTGTGCTCTCTAAGCATGCGAAGTAGTTTTTCTTCCTGCAAAACAGATAAGTCAGAAGATACAACTAATGGTAAAGTTTCATCAAAACCTAAATAGGCATAATGAAGATTGGAAGGTAGGGGATTAAGTTCCAATTTAGGAGATTTTTTGATAGACGGCTTGGCGGGTGGTCCAGTTGGTCTATCTAGAGGCTCGAAATCGATCAGTCCTTTGATGTAAGCACATACATCCTGATGATGCACCATCTCCTTCCCCTCACCATCCAAGTCAATGTTATCTAACAACATAAGTTCTTTCTCTAGAGTGTCATACACATATGCATCCACATCATTTTTTTCTTCTTCCTTTTTAATTACAGATATCATAGCTAGATCCTCATAGTGACTCAGGAGATGAATTGACATGTATACATTAAAGACTGCTTACACATTATCAACCTGGAGGATCATTTTCCTTCACGAACTTTGATCATAGCATCGACGATGGCTAAGAGAGGTCATCCCAAGATGATGGGGACTTGTTCATCAGCTTCATAGTCTAGTATAATGAAATCTACTAACAGTATAAATTTCCTAACTTGTAGGAACACATCTTCTATAACCCCCTCGGGATGGAGAATAGATCTATGAGGAAGCTACAACATGATTGTGGTTTGCCTTGGAGCTCCCAACCCCAATTGTCTAAAAACTGAGAGAGGCATCAAATTTATGCTATCCCCTAAATCAAAAAGTGCTCGCCCCACATCTACCTTACCAATTCGAACAGGTATGGTGAAGCTCTACGGATCATTCAACTTTTGTAGCAATTTTCTTTGAATTCCCGAGGTGCACTCTTCAGTAAGTGCCACAGTCTCAAACAATGTCAACCTCCTTTTGTTAGCCACAATATACTTTATGTACTTAGCATATTTTGGGATTTCACGTAGCACATCATCCACTGGAAGATTAAATTTAATTTGGCTTGGCATATCAAGAAATTTGTTGAACATCCAGTCATCACTTTTCTTCTTCAATCTTTGCGGGAAAGGAGGTGGTGGCCTTGAAATCGGAGTCTTTTCGCATTCTTCAGTTTCTTTCTCGGCTTCTCCCATAGTTTTAGGGATCAGTTCACCCTTAGGAATGACTTGTTCTTTCTTTATTTTGGGCCTTTTTCTAATTCTCTGTCATTTCTCAAAGTTACAGCATTTACGTGAGGATTCTTATCTCTATCGCTGGAAATGGCCCGTGCAGGTCGAGTATTTTGTTGTGCAGCCAAATACCCTTTATGCCTCTCTAAGTTTCGAAATTCAGTCCTCAAATGTTGATTATTTGTTTGAAGAAGCTGGGTGTCAATCAACAGCTTTTTCAATATTTCATTAGTGCTTTCTTCTACTTGTTGGTGTATCTTTTGAGGCTGATTGTAGTTCCCTTGAGGCCAGTATTCATTCTGAATGGTCTGTTCCCACCCCATGAGAAATTTGGGTGGTTCCTCCAGTTTAGATTATAGTTTTTCCCATATTTATTATTCTGGTTCATTGGACCTCTAACTTACTGGCCCACATAATAAATAGATTCAGAACTCACCAGATATTAGTCACTCATATGGTTATCTCCACAAATTTCATAACATATAGCCATCCTCTGAACCTGCTGCATTTGATGCCCTTGACCCATTTCCATCTTAGCCATTTGGTTGTTTAGTTTAGCAACCTCTGGTTGCACAGCTGGCATCTCAGCCAGCTCGAGTGTACCTGTTTCTTTCTGTTTTATCATCCTTGTTGAGTCACCTTCACCCTGCCAGTTATGATTATTTGGGGTGAAACTGTCGAGCAGAGTCTGAATCTCACTATATGGCATTTGCATGCAACTTCCTCCACAAGTTGAGTCTAGATTTAATTTGGAGGTTTCGTCCAACCCATCCATAGAAGTATGTCCTAACAGCTAATCAGTCTGACAATGATGTGGGAAGCCTCAGAGTAGTTTCTTATATTTTTTCCAAGCTTGATGAAGAGTTTCACCATCTTATTTTTGAAACCCAAAAATATGGCTCCTCAGTGCCTTTGTCTTCTTAGAGGGAAAAAACTTGATTAGGAATTTTCGTGCCAAATTATCCCAAGTGTGTATCGAGTTTGTAGGCTCCTTGTTTAACTACTTTGCTTTCCCCACTAGAGAAAAGGGAAACAAAGTCAGTCTGACATAGTCCTTAGAGACGTTCGGATAGTTGCATGTATCCGTAATCTCCAAGAAATTATGTATATGTCTTTAGAGATATTCACTTGACAACCCCACAAGTAGTCATGTGGATTGACTCAGCTGCACCATGTATTGTTTCAGCTCAAAGTGCCTAGTTATATCAGGCTTCACGATAGCCAGAGTCATGTTCGCGAGACTAGGCCTTGTGGCCTCAATCATCGGTCTTTCTTCATTTTCTGCCATCTCGATTGGTTGTGGTTGGACTACAATACCCAACTCTACAATTCTTACTATTTCTTCTACCTCCCTCCTTAACATGTGAAAGAGTCTTTCAGGTTCAGGATCAGAAGGAGGAAGGTTGTTTAGACTGTTACTTCTTCTTAGCATTCAAGGTGAGCACCTGTAGAGTCAAAAACAGTCAAACAGATTAACAGTTGAACAAAAACAAAAAAAAGAACATATTTCAGATAAATAACTAATTTCTAAATACTCGACAACGGCACCAAAAACTTGTTGGGTTCAAATGCACACACAAGTATACACGTTCGGCAAGTAATAAAGTGATAAGAAAGTATCGTTCCCACTAGGATTTATGATTAACTATTTTCCAATCTAAGCTATTTATATATTTAATTCTCAAGTGAGCGTGAAAAAAGATGATTGTGATTTTTATAACTAAATTACTATGATAGTCAAGAACGACCCATAACCGCAGAATAATAAGGTTCTTAGCTACTGATTTTCATAACAATCATCAAAATCTTATTTTCAAACATAAAAGCTATGAGTACTATAATTAGAATGGAAGAATTGATGAATTTTAGTGTTTCGTACTTTTGTTCCTCTCTCAATGTAGCGTCTCCCTTGCAAAAATAGGTTTAGGTTTACTTTTATACGAGCTAGGGGAATCTTGGGGTCGAAATAACCGAGTCCTGGGCGAACTGGGACAATTTCACATCACCAGCACCTAGGTTAGCATAGGGCGCTAGCCCTGATGCTGGCCTTTTGGACGATTTTGTTTTGTGCGCCACAAGTAGCGCCTCATGCTGCTTGTGGCGCTACACTATGGTTTTTTCCCTTTCTTCCCCTTTTCGCTTCAATTCGTGCACATTCATCCCAATTTTTCTTCGGATGATTCATACACATAAAAATACCACAAATTAGAACAATTCATTACATTACACATCCAAAATTTGCGAGACATGAGTAAAATGCAAGGTAATATGCATAAAAATAAACATACTTTAAGCCGAGTATCAATACTACCGAGGTGAATGGCATGATCCCATAAGAATATGTTACATGATATTGCTAAGGTGAAAGAC